TGCCGCATCTAGGCCTGCGAGCCGCGGTCTCGGGCCGCCTCCAGGTCTCGGTACATGGCGAGCGTGTCGTCCCAGCTGGAGCAGGGGAAGTGGAGCAGCGCGAGGTCGACGTACCTCTGCCCTGTCATCGCCAGGCTATGCTCGAGCATCTCCGACCCGTTGTACACAGACATCGGCGGCGCCGATGTCGGGCGTGGCGGGTGTGCGCAGAAGCGGCTGCACCGATCGGTCGGGCAGCAGTTGACCTTGATTGTGACAAAGACCTCTTCGCGCTCCACGCCTGACGCGGCGATTCCCGACGCGACGTGCCGCTGCAGCTCATCGCCATACAAAAACGCAGTGTCTATGCCGCGACCGCCGGACGCGAGCCACAGGCCGTGGTCCGTGGACATGCCGTTTAATACAAGAGGCATGCGGACACCCGGCGCTATCTCGACCGAAGAGCTGCTGGCTGGACGTTTGCAACCAAGTATTGCACAGCGAATGCCGACCACGACTGCGACGGCGGCGGCGACGAGCGAGAGCGGGTTGATCATCGCGAACGGAGTGGTGGCTGGCCGTCACAAAGTAGCAACCGCGGCTCGCCAGGGCCGTCACAAAATAGCAACCGCTGCCGGCCGCGCGGCGCACCAGCTCGGGCAGCCTGGAAAGGATGGCCCGTTGCGGAGTTTCTCTTTTCCAGTTCGCACCTGTGTCGAGCCTGTGTGCTGTGAGAGAGAGTTGTCTTGTTTAAATTCTCTTTTCCTGTGAGAAGCATAGAGCTCTAGAAGCCGTCGTGCGAATTCATTTTCTCTTTACCTCTTCCGCGCACGCGTGATTGCGATGGTCGGCGCCTCCACCTTCTGCATGCTCATGTGGCCGCCGTCTACGGCGGCTTTGGGTTCACGATGTTCCCGATGGTCAACTTCTTCTACGGTCCGGAGTCTCCGATCGCCTACTTCACGGAGACGAGCGAGTTCCAAACGTTCTTTGCGCGGGTCGTCGGTCTGCTGTTCATCATGATCGTGCTCGGGCCGTACGCCTTTGGCGTTCCGTATGAAAGTGCCTGCAAGCAGTACCTCGTGTGGAACACCCTCAGCTTGCCCCTGTTCATCCAGGTGGCGTTCTACTACAAGACTGCCGGGCCGGGCGTCAATGCCGTGACGCCGTTCAACATGTGTATCCCGCAGATCGGCATTGGCGTGGTGTTTCTCATCCTCAACCTCCTCGTTGTCTTCACCCCGCCGGCGAAGAAGGCCAAGGCGAAGAAGTAGAGAAGAGTCGCTTTGCGTTCACTGGCAAGCGCTCTCGTGCGCGACGCAACACGCACCGGCCCGTGGTCCATGTGCGTTCGGTCGTGGCCGATCGCGATGTGTCTGAAGTGCGGAAGAGAGGCTGGTGCGTCTCGTCTGGGGTGTGGGGTCCCCCCGGGCGGGGTGTTTTGTATAGCGGCCCTTGTCGTCGCCTCTGCCACCCGCCAGACCCCACCACTGGCACTGCCCGTCCTGTGCCCGTCGGGGCCTTCTGAGCCACTCGTCTGTGTTCGCGCCACCTGTGCCTCGAGAACGCTGTTCCCAAGGCAGGAGAGTCCGGCCGCCGTTCATGGCCGCGATTTTTCCGAGTAAGGTAATGTCACCTCGCATCTCATTCGTTTCGTAACTCAGACCTGCTTCACCTCATCCTGCACCTCGCCCTGCGGCAGAGAAGATGGCGGGGCTGCTAGACGCCTTCTCTGCCGAGTTGAATGGCGACCATGAGGGTGATAGGAGAGATGGCAACTGCCCAATGCGCAGCCACCCACGACACAAACATGAGGCCTGTGACAGACAGTTGTTGTTGTTGTGACAGTGTTGAGGCCTCTGGGGCTTGCAGACGTCCTCCCAGGGGCACCCGAATGGTAACAAGGAACCATGGCAGCGATGGCGACAAAACATTTTCACATAGAGAAGGTCCAACCAGCGAGCGCTTTTGGTCCAAGGTGGCTGCTGGAACAGGCAGGGCAGCATGCGTACGCTCGCCATCCCGCACGGCTGGAGCAAATCAGAGGCCTCGTTGAATGGGAGAGATGTTGTTGTTGAATGGTGACCATGAGGGTGATGGGTGGCAAAATGCGCAGCCACCCACGACACAAAGATGAGGCCTGTGTTAGACAGTTGTTGTGTGTGAGTGAGTTGTTGTTGTTGTGACAGTGAGGCGCCTGGGGCTTGCAGACGTCCTCCCAGGGGCACCCGAATGGTAACAAGGAACCATGGCAGCGATGGCGACTCAACATTTTTCACATAGAGAAGGTGCAACAGGCGAGCGCTTTTGGCCAAGGTGGCTGGAACGAGATGGAACGGACGATCGCGATCCCGCAAGGGTGGGGCAAGTCGACGGCACGCCGGGAGGAGTGGAGCAGGTGCGTCGCACGCTACGCGGCTCTTTGCTCCAAGCCTGGGATGTGCGTGGGCGACGGCGACGAAGACCTGCCGGGCAAGTCGACGCCGACGAGCTCGGGCGCACTCGACCACCTCGCCTCCATCGCGACGGAGGAGCTCCTGCGGCGCAGGAGCAAGCGCAAGCGCAGCATCATCGACCGCCCGCTCGGCGAGGCTCCTGTGCCGGTCGTGAAGCGTGTGCTCAACCACTGGCTGACCGGCCTGTTCCGGACCGCGAGCGGCGAGACGGCGAGCGCTCACACTCTCGCCCTCTCGCCTACGCCCCATACCCAGCACCACGCCCGCCCGCGCTCACGCACAGCGCCTCCCGACTCTGTCTCAGATGGCGGAGTCCATGTTCTCGCCCGACGCCTTCGTCTCCATCGAGCTCTCCATCGAGGGGGCGGCCACGCCGGCCTCCTTGCCGAGGTGTGCCCACTCTCGCCCACATCAAGCCTCCGCCACCCCACATCAAGGTGCGGCCGCTGTTGACGTGTGTCGTGGATGCGCCCTGTGAGCAGGTTCCAACTCCCGAGCATCAAGTACTTTCTCATGTGGGACCGCGCCATCTTCTCCAAGTACGACACGAGTGCGTACCACATCGACTACGTGCTCGAGGTCCACGACACGTCCACGACTCACACGGCCACTGCACGGCCACGACACGTTCACGAAACGTCCACGACACAGTCACGACACGTCCACTCCACGGCCACGACACGGCCACGACACGGTCACGACACGTCCACTCCACGGGCACGAAATGTCCATACCCCCCCCCCCCCCCCCCTGGGCCTTCAGAACCTCGACGGCTCGGTGGCCGTCCAGATCCGCCACACGCCGACCCTGCTCAACGGCGAGCAGCCCACGGGCGGCCAGGAGGTGATCATGCACCAGCTCTGGGAGGTCACCGGCGGCGGCCGCGTCCGCTCCTTCCAGCGCTTCTGTGGGGCCTCGCCGACGACTGAGGCTGCAGCGCCGCCGTCCTCCTGCGCGTGGCTCTCGCCCCTCTCCCGCCGCGCGCTCGAGAGGGTGCGCGGCTCCTTCGGCGAGGATGCGCCGCTGGCGAGGGCGTCGTGGTCGGCCGAGGAGGGTGACGGCGGGGCGGGCGGCGGCGGCGTGGGCGGTGGGTCGGGTGGAGGTTCGGGGGGAGACCCGTGAGTGAGAGATCTCGTGACCCAAGGAGCGTGGCGAGCGGGCCCCAGCACTCTGAAGCGCGAACCAACGAGGTCGGTCGGCCAGCCCCGAGGAACTCAAATCCCCGACGTACCCCTTCCCCGCCCCCCGCCCCACCCGCCGTATATCGTACATATACACACACGCATATTGCTCGCCAATGTCTGGGTGGGTCCGCTCCTCTCGCTCGGCTCGCGCTTGTGTCTCTTTCGCTGTTCCGAATGAATGTCACATCTGCCCGCTCCCTGTACTGTCCCGAATGTGCGCTCTCGAAAGAAAAAACGGTGTTTCCATTGCTGTGTGTGTACATCTACATGTACATGTATCGCGCGCCCTCGAGCCTCGTGACGTCCGGTCGGACTGACGGTCGTGCCGTAGCACCACGTGGGCACCGTCCGTCGTCCCTTGGGCGTTGGGGGGCGCGCACTTGTGGACTTGAGGAATGAGTCAGAGGAGCACTTGGAGTGCGGTTGGCAACCGCACTCCCAGGGCCGGGGAGCTAAGAAGCGCACCCAGCGGGCCGGACGATTGGTATCGGTTGCGGGCTAGAGAGAGCCCTAGCCCCGGGGGCATTGGACTTTGGAGCATGCCATGCGCCATGCCGCATGCGCGTTTCACCCGAAACTGCAAACTCACCCGTGCCCCTTCGCACTTACTACATACGACACGACACCACACTTGCGCGAGCTCACGACGACCCCAACGGAATCGGGCCCTGTGAAGAAGGGGAGATACGGACAGCGTTTGGGGCGGGAATGTGGGGAGGAAAGCTGCCGAACACGTGGGAGCCGATAGACGCAGAGATGTACGCGATACTCGCATACCTACGCAAAATGTCGAGCGCGAGCGACGCGCAGGCGCGACGGTGCCTAGTACTATGCGACTGCAAACCCGCGCTGCAGCAGATTGAGAATGCGCTCCGCAAAGGGATGCCAGAAGGCCTGAGGGACTGGGAGAGAGGCGATTGCTTACTATAGATCGAAGCTAGAGGCGGTGGTCTTCATGTGGGTGCCAGCACACGTGGGAATAGCCTGCAACGCATACGCCGACGGGCCACATGGTTAAAAGAATTTTCCCGTCACTCTCTCTCTCTCTCTCTCTCTCTCTCTCTCTCTCTCTCTCTCTCTCTCTCTCTCTCTCTCTCTCTCTCTCTCTCACTTGCTCTCTCGCTCGCTCGCTCTCTCTCTAACTCTCTCTCTCTCTCTCTCTCTCTCTCTCTCTCTCTCTCTCTCTCTCTCTCTCTCTCTCTCTCTCTCTCTCTCTCTCTCTCTCTCTCTCTCTCTCTCTCTCTCTCTGTGTGTGTGTGTGTGTGTGTGTGTGTGTGTGTGTGTGAGTGTGAGCTGAGGCATTTCTCGCCTCGGAGCAAGGTAAGCTTATCCCAGCAAGGTAAGCACAAGGCGTGCCTGATTGGCGTCTTCCTTCAACGGCATGATGGCCGACCCCACGATCCACAGCGTGTTTAGCTTCAAGGTAGGCGTCGGCAAGACGACTGTCACCGCCAACCTAGCGGCCACGCTGGCGGCGCAGGGGTGGCGCGTTCTCCTCGTCGACGGCGACCCGCAGGCGAATCTGACAGGGTTCATGACGCGTTACGGCAAGCAGGAGGCCCTGGAGGCCAACGACGTCAAGGTGCAGGAGGTGGAGGACGTCAAGGTGCAGGAGGAGGAGCCCGTCTTTGAGAGCACCGGTGGCTCTCTTCCTTCGTCCGAGCAGTCCTCGCAGGCGTGGTGGGATGAAGGCAAACCCGGTCTGGTCGAGCCGCACAAAGAAGAGGCAGACGCCATGAACGTCGGTGGCTTCGGCGAGCCCGGGCTCGACATGGCCGAGTTTCTGAAGACAGTGAAGAGCTATGAAAAGCCTTTTGGCACGCTGCCACCACCCGTCCTCCTGAACGGCTACCGCAAGCTTGGCCTGATCAAGGGCACGCCAAACATCGTCGACTGGGAGAAGGTCGCCAACATCGATCAAGTGGAAGTCCCAACGCTAGGGCGTCTGCGAAGCGGCTTGCTCGAGCTCGGCGAGGGATTTGACTTCATCCTAATTGATCTCCCGCCCGCTATCTCGGATCTGAACAAGCTCTTCCTGACGTGCTCGGACTACATCCTCATGCCGGTGGCGTGCGACTCGTACTCGGCCGACACGCTCTTCCAGATGTTCAAGGGCGACACGGAGAGCGTGCTGCATAAGATGATGAAGTACATGACCAAGGGGAGCACGAAGCAGGCGGGGGGCATCAACAAGAAGAAGGCCGGCGGGTACGAGGACCCGGTAACCGGCGACTTCATTCCTCGCTTCGAGCGCAGCATCGGTTTGTATCCTGTCCTGATGAACCGGTGCCAGAAGAGCAAGGGCTACCAGTCAATGCACAAGATCTCGACCAAGTGGTACAACGGCTTTGAGCGCTTTCTGAATGGCGTGACCCTCCCTTCCGGGTTTGAGTGGGTGAACGACTCCTGCCGCGTCGTCGGAGCCTTCAACGAGAGCGTCGCTCTCAGCAAGCTCCAAGTGGAGAAGCTGCCCGTGGTCCTCTCCAACTCGCTCGCCGTCGCAGAGGTCACCCTACGCGACTCGTTGCTTGCGCTATCCAGCATGCTGATTGTCACGACGGCCGACCAGCTCGAGCGCACCAACCCCGACTTGATGCGCGTCTGCAAGGCGAGGCAGGGCTGCTCGCATGGACACCGCGGCTTGACAGCCTCGGAGTGCCTCGGACAGGTACTACAGCAGCGCTAGCCCACCGACTCATAGGCCAGGTAGAACTAAACCGTCCTACTTCTTGTGACAGGTGCCTCACTTTCGGATGGCGGCAAAGCATATGCCAGCCGAGCTTAAGCCCCGATCCCCGCTCGATGAGACGCTGATTGAGCTGGTCGAGCGAATGGTCTACGAGACGAAGAAGCACACGCAAACCATTCCCAGCACCGGGCGGAGCAAGAAGACGCTCACGTTCCGGGAGCTCCTTTACGACCAAACCATCAGCGAGGTGGATGTCACCGAGCACATGGGTGCGATCAGTAGCACCTGGGACGGCTACAAGCTCAAGTACGTGAACGGCAGGATCACCAACGGTGACGTCGATTTCGCATTAGTCGACGGCAGCGACGACACGGTCGCGAAGGTGGAGGCAAAGATGATCGACTCCAAGCAGTCCACCGAGAAGGACTTTGGTTTCGCGAAGCTGAAGTCGCAGATGTGATGCAAGCCGCCAACCACAACAAGTCTTTGAAGGCAATCTACGGCATCGTCTTTGAGAAGGTCGAGGGGCCGGGCAGCGGCGCTTTCAGCGACGTCAAGCAGATTGCGCTTTACAAGTGGACAAAGCCGGAGGCAACTAAGCCCGCCCAGCCCGTGCTGTTCTGCTTCATTCCGGTCTGGAACCCGACCCTGCGTGGAAACGAAAGCGCAACGTCGCCGCGACTGCGGGGGCCAAGCGCGCGCGCGTCGGCGCCGCTGGCCCATCGGGCATCAACCGCGACGTCGTGTACCAGCAGCAGCCCCCGCAGGGCGAGCACTTGAGGGAGGGTGCAGACGCGGACCTGGCGACGGCGTTCTCCAACAGCGAGGTGCAGATGTACGGAGACGGCTCCAACATGCAGGCTCCCCATTAAGCCTTGTTGCCAGCTTGTTATGTGTCTGACTGTCACTGTGCTGTAGTGCAATTTCGGCGGGCCCAGGGCTGCCCTTATGTGTAACTGTCGTCGCTGTCTCTCTCCTTCTCGACTGTCGGAGAGAGAGAGAGACCACTGGATGTTGATGGAGGGTGTTGGGCCTGCCGGGGGGAGGGGAAGAGCATGTCCGATCTTCTGCGTTCACACATAATTCACACTTCACAGTTGTGACAAACTTGCGTCCCGGAAATCAGAAGCGTGCCGAGGCGGAGCCATCGCCAGGAGAGCTGGAACATTCACAGCGCTTGCAAGCGTCACGTCGCGCAGCCTTGCTGCTAGCAGCGTGTTTGCTCGGCATGTCGTCCTGTCTTACCATGCTCGCAGGCTCGTTCGGCTCCGGTCCCAGGGCACCCTCGACCGAAGCCTTCGCCTGGCCAAAGAAGATTGCTCCGCATCACTTGTACCCCATCCACCTTGCAATGGAGTCCGTGGCCAGCATCCTCGCGCGGGTGGGCGTCGATGAGGTGTCGCCGATGCCGAACGCATCGCAAATTGCCGTCGCCACTTGGTCGCAACGGCCGAACGCAACGACACCCCATTCAGATCCTCCAAAGGCGAAAGCTGCTCCCACGAAGGTCTACAAACGAACCACCATGGAGGAGCTTCACAAGCTGTACAATGGCGCCTACTGCGCCAGGTATGGCTACGCGTGCATTGTCGACAAGACCCGCCGCCTGCCTCATCTGAAGCCTCATTTTGAGAAGCTTGCCATGGTGAGCGCGCTCTTCGAACAAGGCTTCCGAGCGGTGCTCCTACTGGACGATGATGCATTCATCCTGAGGCCAGAAGTGTCCATTGAGCATTGGCTCACAGTCTACCAAGGCGACTCACTCATCGCGGCGTCGCACGGCTGGACGACCTTCATGCCGGCGCCCGATGCGGGCAGACATGCATCAGGCGCCATGCCGAGTGTCTACGAGCGCTCGACCTGGGACGTGCCGCACCACACCAACCCAGAAGGCTTTATCCCAACGCCGTACTCCCCGAATACTGGCGTTCTACTCTTCGTTGACACGACGTACACGCGCACGCTTTTGGGCATGCTCCTCGAGAATAACGCGTCGCGCCTCGCGTCGTACAACGACAGCAGCTGCTGCTTTGACCAAGATGCCATCCTCGCTGCCACAGCGAAGTCATGGCAGACTCATGTAGGGGTGGTGCCCGGGCGCCAGTGGCAATGCCACCCGCGCGATCTCAGCACGCCGGGCTTGTGCATCCGCCCGTTTGTCCTGCACATTTCCGGCAAGTTGGACAAGCAAGGCGTCGAGCACAACCTCGAGCTCATGAGCAAGCTGCGGACTCGGTCGTGGCGAGATGATGAGCCGCGGGCAGCAGCAGCTTACCGGCCCGCGATGCTCTTCTCGCCGTCGGCCAAGGCAGACCGCATCGTCATCCTCCCCCGCCTCTGCTCGGCCGGCGTCCTGCACGCAAGCGGCCAGGTCTGCTGCAACGCTACTTGCGGGCTGTGCGGCGGGCTCGGCTGCTCCAGCCGCCCCGGCGGGCCACACCAGTGCTGCATGCCAGCCATCCTGCGCAAAAGCCGGAGCTGTCAGTCTACAGCGGATGTTGCGTGCATCCTGCATCGAGGGGCCGCCGCCAACGCAACTACAGCCGAGCGTGCGCCGCCTGAGCTGACGCGATCGCGCCTCATGACCCGGCGATCGCGCCTCATGACCCGGCCCGCGATGCTCTTCTCGCCGTCGGCCGAGGCAGACCGCATCGTCATCCTCCCCCGCCTCTGCTCGGCCGGCGTCCTGCACGCAAGCGGCCAGGTCTGCTGCAACGCTACTTGCGGGCTGTGCGGCGGGCTCGGCTGCTCCAGCCGCCCCGGCGGGCCACACCAGTGCTGCATGCCGGCCATCCTGCGCAAAAGCCGGAGCTGTCAGTCTACAGCGGATGTTGCGTGCATCCTGCATCGAGGGGCCGCCGCCAACGCAACTACAGCCGATCGTGCGCCGCCTGAGCTGACGCGATCGCGCCTCATGACCCGGCGATCGCGCCTCATGACCCGGCCCCTTGCGACCGACGTCGCCATAGTGAGCTTCATGGCGGGAACCCGGTACCACGGCGCCATCACCTGCCTCGCTAGACGCCTTGAAGCCGTCGGATCCCGCTTGCCCTTCGTGGTGGTGCACGACACCACCGAGGCGCCCTTCTGCAATCGGTGTAAGTTTGTGCACGCCTCCGTGCTTTACGCACGAATTGGATACAGCGAGGGAACAAACGCAACCGTCCACTACGGCAGACGTCTATTCACGCGTGAGGAACACAATCACTTGTACTTGAAACTGTGGGCTTGGACCCTCGTCGAGTACAGACAAGTGCTGTCGCTCGACGCCGACATATTGTTGCTGAAGAACATCGACTGGTGGACAAACTTCAGGCCAGCAAAAGCAATCGCCACGTTCCCCGCCTGTAATACCGAACTCTTCAACAGCGGCACAATTCTACTTCGGCCGTCACTCGCGCGCGCACAGCAGCTGATGCGTACAAGGGCGGGGCGAAAAGCCTGCGAGGTGAAGATTGGCGACCAGTCGGTTTTAAATGCGGTGTTTGCGCACAATTGGCAGATACTGCCGTCCGACGATCGTGTACCTTATGTGCATTGGGCTGAGGAGTCCCAAACGGCACTGAGTCGCTACCGCAATGCGTCTCTCATCCACTTTGTCGGCGAGCCCAAGCCTTGGAGAGAGTTTGATGCATGTTTCACAAGTGTGTAGCATGTTCACAAGTGGCGCGGAGAAAGCGCCGGCTTATGCATGAATACCAGTGTCTCTCGCCCACTTCGCCAGCTGCCGCGCCGTCGGTCTCGCCGTCGCCGCCGCTCTCTCCGCCGCCGTCGCCGCCACCCTCACCGCTGCCGTTGCCGCCGCACTCCTCCCCGCTGCCGCCCTCACCCTCCCCGCCGTGCCGTCGGTCTCGCCGTCGCCTTCTTCCGTGTCGCTGTCGCCGCTCCGCCGTCCGTGTCGCCGTCGCCGCCTCGGATCTGTCCGTGTCGCCTTCGCCGCCTCCGTCCGTGTCGCCGTCGCCGCTGCCTTCCTCCGTTTCGCCATCCCCGCCGCCGATCTCACCTTTGCCGTCTCAATCCATGTCGCCGTCGCCGTCGCCGCCGTCGGTCTCGCTTTCGCCGCCTCTGTCCTTGTCGCCGTCGCCGCCGCCGCCGTTGGAATCGCTCTCCCCGCCGCCGTCGGTCGTGTCGACTTCGCCGCCTCCGTCCGTGTCGCCTTCGCCGCCTCCGTCCGTGTCGCCGTCGCCGCCTCCGTCCGTGTCGCCGTCGCCGCCTCCGTCCGTGTCGCCGTCGCCGCTGCCTTCCTCCGTCTCGCCCTCCCCGCAGCAAGCTCGCTTGCCGTCGCCGTCGCCGCCATCGGTCTCGCTTTCGCCGCCTCCGTCCGTGTCGCCGTCGCCGCCTCCGCCGTCGGATTCGCCTTTGTCGCCTGCTCCGTCCGTGTCGCCCTCGCCGCCGTCACGATTCGGCATACACACAGTTTGCACATCTGCAAGTTCTTCCTGATGTACACGGCGGTGCAGCCCCCGGCAATTAGCGGGCAACTCAAGGCATCGACGCTCTCGCCGAAGCCCCTGTGCACCTCCCGGCACTTGCCGCCGTTTTATTCGGCGCAATGGCCGGCGTTGAAGCTCCGAACCCAGGCGCAGCCGAGCCCGTTTCTTTCAGAGACAACACCAACAACCTCTTTCACTCATTCTTAAAACAGTACCGGCCGGGATTTCGATGTGCTAAAATGGATACCTGGAGAATGGCATCTAATTTCGCGGACCGGCTCTTTTAACAATCAGGTCATGTGCGTGGCCTACGTCAGAGACCAAGTGAGGTAGCCGTCCCGGGCAATTTGTGACCCGTCTACGCCCTCGCGCCTCGGGCGCGGCCGGCCGCCGCCGCGCGCCGGCTGCCCGCCCGTTGACTTCCCCGCCGCGCGCTACGCGTTCGTTCGCAGTAATCTGGCTTAGTTCAGAGATGTCGGGTCGTCTCTATGCGTATCACAGCGCGGCGCTGGCCTGCGCATGGCGGGCATGTAGTCGAATCAATCAATTTCATCCCGACATTTGATGTTAGTGGCAAAACGCGGAACCAAAATGGCGTTTAATTTTGCGCACCTGCTGTCCGCCGCCTGCGGCGGCGCTGCGCGCCGCCTACGCGCGCTGGCGGTGGTGCCGGGCTGCTCTAGGATGTCAGGCTGGCTCCATGGCACCACCCGTAGCCCGTTTGCTGCCCCGGCATCATCCGGAGGCGGGATTGAACATGATATGACGCTTCACGGCTCAGGACTAAGCGTGTGCCAAACTGTACCTGACTCACATGCGTACCTATCGTACGGAGGAAGCGTAGTGTCCCCGCCGGCTCCCCGGGGCCTCTTAGCCCTTTCGCGCGCCCCAGCGTCATAGGCTCTCAAAGTGTATCGCGTTGATCTTGCCGTCGAAGCGGAAGGGCTTGAGGCCGTAGTAGTAGTCCGCCACCGGCGAGCCGAGGTCCATGCCGACGTCAAAGCCCTCGTTCGCCGTGAAGACGACCGGCACCGTCCGGCCAACCTCCACCGCCGCCGTCGTCGCCGTCGGCAGCCCGCGCCGGCGGGCAAGGCGCCAGCCGCTCTCGTTCTTGGCTGGCACGCCGTTGACGGTGAAGAGGAGGCGAGCCGGCGCGCCGCGCTGCGGCGGCGTCCGCATCTCCATCCCCACCTACGCGTGCTCATGCAGGACTCGCCCGTCGCACTCCAGTAGCTCCACGGGCCTCCCTCCCGAACCTTGACGTGCGCCGAGAGAGGCGGGCAATCTCGGGCAATCTCGGGCAATCTAGGATCATCTCGGGCGATCTCGGGTAGTCTCCAGCCTTGACGTGCGCCGAGGAAGGAGGGAGCCTGCCGACCTTGAACGTGTACCGCCGCAGCAGCAGCGCCGAGTACTCGTAGTAGAGGCTGCCGTCGGCCGCGAAGAGGCAAGCCCCGCCTGATCCCGGGTGATCTCGGGTGATCTGGTGTGATCTCGGTGTGATCTCGGGTGAAGAGGCAAGCCCCGCCCGCGTAGCCGCCAAGCGCGAAGATGACGCCGCTGCTGCTGGCGGTCGTGTCGAGGTCGGCCTACGACAAGGAAAGCCCAAGGTGAGGTAAGCTCCTCCACACGCACACAACGGTGAGACGAGGGGGGCTGGCCTCCATGCGCACGTTCCCGTTCCGCACGTTCGGCGCCTCGCTCTCCGGGATGCGAACCTGACCTCGGCAGATCTCGGCTCAGTCTCGGGCGTGATCTCGCGCGATCTCGCGTGATCTCGGAGATGCGGACCATGCCCGGGAAGAGCCGCCACTGCGTGTTTGACGTCCGCTTGACCTCTGCCGGATGGAGGAGGACGTAGAGGCCTCCTCCAACAGGGAGCACCTTGTTTGCGCGGAACTCGGCGTCCGCCAGCGCCCTCATCGCGCTGAGCCGGCCCGCATGCGCCGGCTGTCCACTCAGGTCCCTGGCCAGGGAGTAGTCCGGGCGCGTGTCGTACAGCTGCCATGCATCCTGTGTCGGGTCCCACGTGGCCAGGTCTGGCGCACCCATCTCCCACGGGGCACGCGGCCCGAAGGTGGACGCTAGCCAGCCCTTGTGGTACACTCCGCGGCTGCCCATGATGTCGAAGTACTGCGTCTCCTTCCGCTCGGCCGCGCCGGCGTCGTCGAACGTGTACACGAAGCTCACGCCGTCGATCGGGTCTTGCGCGTGCCCGTCGACGACCTCCGGTGGAGAGATGCCGAGCAGCTCGTAGACAGTCGGCGCGACATCGTTGACGTGGTGGAACTGGCGGCGCGGCGTGCGGTCGGGCATTACCCGCCCCGGCCAGCTCACGACCATCGGCGTGCGCGTCCCGCCCCAATCCGACGCCACGAGCTTGGTGAACCTGAACGGCGCGCCGCCCGCCCACGCCCACGCCGCGTGGTACATGTTGTCCGTCTTTGCGCCGCCGATCGCCGCCAAGCCGCCCAGGGCGCCAAGCACGCGGAGCTGCTCGTCGACCGTCGAGGTGAAGCCGTTCTGCGCGTTGAGCTCGGCGACGGTGCCGCCCATGCCCTCGGCCGACGCGCCGTTGTCCGAGAAGATGTCGATGATGAGCGTGTCGTTGCGCAAGCCCAAGGCCTCCACCTCCCCCACCACGCGGCCCATCTGGTAGTCGGTGTGCTCGAGGAAGCCAGCGTACACCTCCATCAGCCGCTCCTGGAACGCCCTCTCCTGTTTGCTCAGCGACTCCCACGCCGGCAGCCCCTCTGGCCTTGCCGACGGCTCCGCCTCCTCCGGCAGCCACCCCATCGCCTTCTGCCGCGCCACTGTCTCTTTCTGGTATGCGTCCCACCCGCCCGAGAAGGCGCCCTTGTACCTGTCCGCCCACCGCGCGCTCACGTGGTGAGGCCCGTGCACTGCCCCTGGCGTCCACCAGACGAAGAAGGGGCGGCTCGGGTGCAGCGCCTTGGTCCGCCGCATCCAGCCAATCGCCTTGTCGGCGAGGTCCTCGGTCAAGTGGTACGCTCCTCCGCCCTCGACCGCCGCCGGCGTCGGGATCTGGACGTTCCCCTCCCACAGCAGCGGCTCGTACTGCGACGTCTCTCCCGCCATGAAGCCGTAAAAGTGGTCAAAGCCGCGCCCGGTCGGCGTGCGGTCGAAGGGCCCAGAGCCGAGCGAATCGACGGGCGTGTTGTGGTCTTTGCCAAACGCCGCGGTCGCATACCCGTAGTGGCGGAGAACCTCTGGCAGAGTGGCAGCAGTCTTGGGTATCACGCCCGTGTAGCCGTCCCATGCGTTCGCGAGCTCGGCGATCTGGCCAGAGCCGACGGCGTGGTGGTTCCGGCCGGTGAGGAGCGAAGCGCGCGTCGGCGAGCACATCGCCGTCGTGTGGAACGCGTTGTAGCTGATCCCTGTCGCCTTGAGCTTCTCGAGACTCGGCGTGGCGATGCCGCCGCCGAACGCGCTCGGCTGGCCAAAGCCGGCGTCGTCAAACATGACAATCAGGATGTTGGGCGCCTCCTTGAGCGGCGGCTCCTCTTCAGGCCAGCGGTGCGTCGAGCTGCTCATCGTGTAGCCGACGGTGCCGCCCGGAGGCGCCGGAGGGAAGGGCAAAACGCGCCCGTCACGGCCGCTCCGCCCGCCTCGCGCCCCACTACCCATCGTACGGATGACATCGCCCATGCCAACCACCTCCTCGCCGCCTCCGCCAGCGCCGCCTCCCCCTCGGCCGCCTCCGCCGCCTCCGCCTCCGCCGCCTCCGCCGCCTCCACCGCCTCCGCCGCCTCCGCCTCCGCCGCCTCCGCCGCCTCCGCCGCCGCCTCCGCCGCCTCCAACCCCGCCGCCTCCGTCAGCGCCGCCTCCGTCGCCTCCTCCGCCTCCGCCCGGCGCTCCGCTGGAGGGCGGCGCACTCTCAAGACGGAGCGACGCGCGATCAGCGCAGGAGAAGGCCTTGAGAAGCCGCTTCCGCGTCGGGCCGTACGCCGCGCCCTTCCCGCCGCCCCCAGCACCGCCAGCAGCGGCAGCAGCCGCATCTGCAGCCTCCTTCCTCGCCTCTGCGCCCGCCTTCTTGAGTGCGGCCAGCTCTCGCTCGAGTGCGCTCAGCTCTTTGATCCGATCGTTGTACGCCAGCGGAGTGAGGGCTCCCCAGTTCATAGGCTTCGCCATCCCGGCCTCCACCACCTTGACCCTCGCCTCGATGCAGTCGATGCCGACGGGAAGTTGGAGGTTTCCGTGAAACCCATCCTGATAGACCCGATGTCCGCAAGGGGCAAGCGCGGACCCTCCCCAGAGCGCACTCAGCTTGGCCCATGCAACGTGGGCAACGGCCGCAACTTGCGCACCGGTGCCCGGGGGCAGCGCGCTGGCGTCATAGCCCATGCGAGCAAGCTGTGCGCGGAACAGCGTCTCGAAGTCATCCTCGCTGCCGCTCTTCACCGGTGTGGGCGCCGGGAGGATGTCGGCAGCGAGCAGATAAAAGTGGAAGCCCACCACCGTCCGCGCCGCCGCCGCCGCCGCCTCTGCCGCCTCCGCCGCCCCTGCCCGCGAGCGCCTGCCGCTGCTTGCAGCCCGCCGCACGCGCTCCCGCTCGCGCGCCTCCCACTCGTCGCACAACGCGCCCCAGAACTGCGCCTCCTCGTCCTCGCCCCGCTCGGCGGTGAGCGGCAGCGAGCGCCAGCGCCCGCCGTGAGCCGGAGCCTCCTCCTCCGGCACCGCCCAGGACACCTCCTCGGTGCCTCGCCACAAGTCGACGACGGCACCGTCCGACAGCCTCGCGGGCGCTATCTCCCACACGACGTGCTCCTCGGCGGACGCGAAGACGTCCCAGCGGTTGTGCAGCAGCGCGCGCCACAACACGCCCGGCGTGGCGCGGCTGCCGCAGCCAGGCCCTCCCCCGCCTCGCCACTGGTAGATGGCGGAGGAGAGGGCGAGCGCACTCAGGCAGAGCAGCGACGCTCTCTGCGCGCCGCCGCCGCCGCCAATACTGCCGCCCCTGCTGCCCGCCGGAGCGCCTAGTCAGCGAATTGGACAACTAGCCCCCCGCCGCCCTTACTGCCGCCCCTGCTGCCCGCCGGAGCGCCTAGTCAGCGAACGGGACAACTAGCCCCTGACGACGAGCGATGGCCCTACTGCGAGGTGACCGGAACCTCTCTCTCTCGGCGGCAGCCTCGGGCCGTCCCAGAACGGGATCCAGACTCCGATCGCAGCCATTGAGAGCAGCGCCGTGTGGCGCATTGTCAGCGCGATGATGACGTGCAGACCAGCGCCGCAGACGACAAACACCCGGCGCAGCCCCACCGTAGGCGCGGCGAGGGCGAGCGGCGCCGCCGTGAGCTCGACGGCGACGGCGGCGGCGCCGGCGAGGCGGAGGCCGGCGCCTCCCAGCAGCGCGTGCGCCGCTCGCGCCGGCGGCGTGTGGCGGAGGTAGGTGTCGAGGGCGGCGACGGGCGCGTCGAGGGACCAGGCGGCGGCAGGGTCGCGCAGCTTGGCGCCTCCCGCGTCCTGGTAGATTGCGACGAGCTGCACTGCGAGCAGCAGCGACGCGAGGCTGCTACCTCCGCTGGGCGGCGGCGTGGGCAGCAGCACCGCAAAGGCCAGCAGGAGATGCAGGTACCGGTCGAGGATGAAGATGAGCGGCGGCACCCTCAGGCACGCAGACAGGTGCAGCCACCAGGCGAGCACCCCGGCGCCTCGCGCGCCGAAGAAGAGGCCGACGGCAGCGGAGGCCTGCAGCGCTGTCAGCGCCTGCGCCCAAGCTAGCGACCCGTGCCACGCATGCGCACACACGGCCCACGCGAGCGGATCCTCCGCCGGGTCGGGCAGTACCAAGCGCCGCGGGAGAGCACCGCTGTCTGTGTAGAGCCAGCGGAGGGCGTCCCAACGGCTCGCAGCCTCGAGGAGGACGAGCAGAGCGACCCACCGCCGGAAGAAGATCGCGCAGCGCGGCGTGACAGCAAAGGGTGCAGAGAGGAGCCGGCGAAGGCTGGAAGCAGCTGGCATGGCGGCGCAGCGGCTCAGTGTGCGTGTGTGTCGCACTGTGGGAGAGGTGAGGCGTGGTGCTCGCAAGTGATTGAGCCAACCGAGTGATTGAGGCGTGGTGCTCGCGCAAAAAAAGAAATTCTGCCACGATCCCGCTGCGTAGCCCGTAGCCCGATCCCGATCATCCGGCCCGCTGGGTGCGCTCCTTAGCTCCCCGGCCCTGGATGTGAGGCTAATGACTGCACTCCAAGTGCTCCAAGTGTCCATTGCTCTTTTCCGCGCCCCCCGTTCAAGGCGCGCGATATACACACGACCGGAGGGCCCGGGGTGGGACCTGGAGGCAGCGCGGTTCTCTGCGTGGACATCGACGTGGACAGGAGCTGTGGCCCCTGTCTCCCGGCAGAGAGGTCAAGTCAGTTTCCTCTCTCTCTCTCTGTGATGTGAGGACCTGCTGCCGTGAGGACCTCACTCAGGTGTGTGAGGACCTTTTTGGGAGGCGACCTATTCAAGCTTGGCGACTTGAAACTGACGAGCTCGCTTGCGTGCAAGGGTGGCGATCGGCTCGGCTGGAAGGGGGCTTTTGTCGCCTTCGGCAACACCGAGCGGGCGCTGCTCGACTTAGTGTTAGGGCATGCTGCATGGCCGCGGCCGGGAGGGGGGGGGGAGGGGGGGAGGGAGGCGGAGGATGCAGAGGCGGAGGCGGCGGCGGCGGAAGAGGAGGAGGGGGAGAGTGAGGGGGAGGCGGAGGCGGGGGCACCTGTGACGGCCCGCTACGAGAAGGGCGAGTACCGGTTCGCGCGGGAGAAGAATTGCGACCTGCGTTTGCTCGACTTCGAGACGTTCGGCGGCTTCGGGGACGGCGTCCGCAGAATTCTTCGGCAGGCGGCGGACCAGCTGAGTAACAAACTTTCGCACGCTCAGCACCTCGATGAGGTCACATGGACCACCAAGAACTGGCACGGGCTGCAGATGCAGCGCTTGTCTGTCGTTCTCCACACCGCCGTGGCGTGGCAGACGGTGAACGAGCTAGCGTGCGGGGACAGCGGCATTGTGCACGGAGCTAAGTGCATTGCCGTTCTTAACGGAGTCGCTTAGGCGGCTCCGGTGGTGTGCCGGTGATAGTACTAGCACGCGCCAGTTCGCACCTGTGTCGAGCCTGTCTGCTGTGAGAGAGAGTTGTTTTGTTTAAATTCTTGTTTGACTTGGCGATTTGAGAGTCGCGCACAGCACACACTGGCCAGTGTGCTCCTCGCTCGCTCCCCGCTCGCCTCGGTGACCTGTTGCCCACCAGCGCGCGGCGACCGCGCGCACACCACCAGCGCGCGGCGACCGCGGCACACCGCGCCCGCCGGCTCTCCGCCCTCCTCACCACCCGTCGGCGCTGTCCGCAGGCATGTGAAGCGGAACGGCTGCCGACGCGATCAACCGCCGGGCGTCGGCCCCTCGCCGGCGCAGCGCCGGCGAGGTCCTGGGTCATCCCCGGGCGGCGGTCCGGGCGGCAGCAGATCTCTGCGCCGCCCGCATCCTGTTCGTGATCAGGGCGTGCGCAGTTTGAAATTGCAAGGTCCGAGCGCGCGCCCGCGCCCGCCGCGCCCCGCACGCAGCCACATCCTGCGTTCTGCGGCGGCAGCGGCCTTATCTCTCTCTCTCCCTGCTCTCCCAAGCCGTGCGCACCGTCGCCGCGCGCGCGCGCCGCCGCAAGCTGCCGGGCTGACGCTCGTCCCCGTGCCCCTGTTGCGCAGGCAACACCCGCGCTCGTGCGGACCGCACGACCAGCTTCCTGCTCGCGCCGCCCTCGCTGTGGCCCGGCGTCTCCGCCGGCGGCTGGTGCGTCAAGGTGATGAAGAGCACCACCAAGCCTGACGTCACCACGGTCAAGTTCAACGACTCCACGGTGACCTTCTCGTTCGCGGTGGTTGCCTCATGGAAGCCCGTCTCCTAGAGAGTCGGCGCCATCGCTCTTGCCGCGCCGCGCGTAGTGCGCGTCGCGCGGGTACCGCACTATTAGCCGCACTATTAGGGCACTATTAGGCTCTCATAGTGCCCTAATAGCGCCCTAATAGTCGCTATTAGCCCTTCTCATAGTGGTGTTCTCATAGCTCCAGACGTTATGAAGCTCAGCTATTAGCTCCTCTGAGCTAATAGTAGCACTATTTGAAATCGCTATTAGCCTTTTCCTCATTATGAGGCTAATAGTTTGACCAGTGCGGTGGCCCATATTAGAGAGGCAAGGCGCTGCTCGCGAAGCCACAGCCTCGTTTCGATGTCGCCCACCACCCATTTACACCAAACTCAACAATACATGCCATACCAATCGTACGAACAATGAAAGCAACTTGAATAGTGTGCCGCAACTATCCAACGGCACTGTGCAATTTGATGCAGCAAGCACCCGTGTGACAACCCGTATGTTGCAACGAGTGGATTTGCTTTTTCTTTTTACTCTCGTGAGCTGTGAACAGACGCACTTGCCTTCGGGGGCAAGTAGCTAGGTTGGGCGTGCTTTCACGGCCTCACGAGGGTATTTTCTTTTCGAGAGCGCCTTCGCGGGAGGGCTATGACACCGATTTACCGGACGAGGTCCAGCAGGAGGCGGTCTGCAGGTTGCAAGCCTTGTTGCACCAAACCTTATCTACAGTTTCTCTTGG